TGAAAGTTAATAGTAAAAGCTTGGGACCTATTACTGTCTATTGTGATAACCAGGAAGCTATTGCTTATACCAAGGATCCCAAATACCATAGTAGAACCAAACATATTGACACTAAGTATAATTACGTTAGAGACATCATAGGAAAAAGAGAAGTGTTAGTACAATATATATCTACGTATCAAATAATAGCAGATCCTCTCACAAAAATCATACCAAGAGATGTGTATCTTAGACATGTTAAATCTCTTGGAATGCATAGATTGTAACTTTGTCATGATAATGAATAGTTGAGCTTATATATTGTACTATTTTATTATGAATGCAATGTGATATATATTTACATGTTATGTATGTTACTTTTGTAAAGCTCAATTTTTTTAAGTCACACGAGTTTAGATTGGCTCTCTCATACGAGCAATCGTCTCTAGCATTAATGGAAACAAGTAGAGATGAGACAATTCTCCTCTAGTGCTATTAAGAGCTAGTAGAGTGGAGATAAAATTAAGAAAGTTTCACCTTAATTATAAAATTAAAATGAGATTGCAAACCAATATATATTATTTTTATAATTGATTTGGAACCCAATCCAAATAACTTGTGAAAGCCGATTTGAGATCTCGGTGATTAAAACTTGCTGAGAGAAAACACCATGAGAATTCGGGTTAGTCGCTTGTGTCCAATGACTAAACTAAGATGCTGTACAGTGTGTATAAGATATGATGATTGGGAACACCGCACGTGATTCATACCACGTGTGCTAATACGATCGCAAACGATAGTGGGAGAATGAATCCCTACTTCTCCACTGTGTGAGATCTTTAGAGGAATAATAATATCCTCTAGATAATACCCTTATCACTTTTTACTGCTATTCGAGATCTAGGCTTGGTGTTTGCTATCTTAGTTAGCTACTTATGATAATGTGTGATTCGATCTATAGAACTTGTCTAGAAAAGCGGTTAAGCTCTAAATTAAGAATTTCGAGTAAGAAAGAAAGATGAGTTCGATATATTCATAGGTCGGCCAATCATGTTGCTTGAAAGAAGCATTGCTTGGGAATAGTGTGGACATGATTATGGATATATAATATGATATCGATTTATACCGATTAAGGGATTTGATATAATGAGATATTCGAGTACAAGGAACCATTTGGGGTATTGTGAGATTTACGATACATTATATCTCATATATTGCTCATTAATCTAAGGTGGTAGCTACTATGTTATTCATTACGGATGCATAGTAATAAGCTCCCAAAATGCGGGAATGCTTGCTAGGTCGCACGATCCATTTGCTTGTATGAAAATACACCTTCTTTTTTTACTATCGATATCGTAGAGAGCCTTACGTTGAGTCTAACCCGTCATGTGCAAGTGGGAGATGTTAGAAAAAATAAAAAAATTTAGGTCGGGTCGACCCGAAAAGAAAATAATAACTATCAAAATAGTTACAAGGAAACGTTGTTTCACTTCATCTCCTATGCATATATATGTGTGTGTGTGTGTGTGTGTGTGTGTGTGTGTGTGTGTCTAGAAAAGGAGAGATAGATAAGATATAGATAAGAGAGAAAGATAAGAAAAAGAGAGAGAAAAAAAACATACATAATAAAAAGACTCTCTGCAAGCGAATACTAAAGCAAGAAGGATTGTATTGGCACTTGGATTGTGGAAATAAAGATAGTGATTTAATATTACTTGTCTTGATCTAGTGAAACTATTTACAAGTGTTTCTATCCTAATTATTTTTATTTTTGAAGTATTCATCATAATCTTCAATGGCCAATGTATATAAGTTGCATCGTTTGCCATGGACTATTGTTTCGGATAAAGATTTAATGTTTCGAGTAAGTTTTGAAGGGAGTTGTTTGTTTATCAAGGGGTTTCATTATATTTTTTTACCGCCTATCATCCCCAAACCGATGGCCAATCAAAGGTGGTTAACATGTGTTTACAAATATATTTGAGGTGTATGACTCGTCGATATTTTGAATGCTTGGCATAGGTGGTTATGTCTAGTTGAATTTTGAATAATACTTTTTTCCATGCCTCTATTCAACAAACTCCTTTCAAAGCTCTCTATGGTTATCCTCCTCCTATCCATCCATCCTATCCGCCTAATGATTGTAAGGAAGCGAGACATTGATGAGGTTTTACGGGACAAAGAGCATGTCATTTCGGTGCTTAAACATCACTTGACAAAGGCACAACAAAGAATGAAAGGGCAAGTCGATAAAAAATATACCGACAGGGAGTTCAACATTGGAAACTAAGTTTACTTGAAGCCGCAACTTTACGAGCGGCAATTTGTAGCTTCCGGGAAGAATTAGAAACTTTCTCCTCGATTTTTTGGACCTTTTAAGGTGATCGATAGAGTTGAGAGTGTTGGTTATACTCTACAATTGCCTCATAACTCCTCAAATCTATCCTACCTTCCATGTCTCCTAACTCAAACTTGTTAAAGGCATGATTCGGGTATAACTTGACTTACCTTTATCATTGACTATGCCCTCTTTTCCATTAGCTATTTGGACAAAAAAATGGTCAAAAGGGGGTAACTAAGTCTGCTACCAAGTTGTTAGTTCAATGGTCCAATGGAGCAATTCGTCGAAGCAACTTGGGAGTTTGCATTTGATTTGGAGCATCGTTTCTCTCAATTTAACCTTAGGGATAAGGTTTCTTAAGAAGAAGGATATTGATACAATCCTTTTGATGTAGATGATGAGCTAGACATTAGTAGCTAACAAGGCTAGTAGATGGCAATGAGCTAGCGAGTGGTTAAGTTGTTAGGTTGTTAGTAATTAGTTAGTTGTTAGTTTGGTAGTTAGCAATAAAGAGGAGTGCAAATCGGTTAAGCAAAATGGATTTTCTCCCTTCTCGACTCTGCTTCTTCTTCCTCCGAGTTTCTCTATTCTTCCTTCTTATGTATTTCTTTTCCTTGCATTACGAACATTTGTTGGATTGATTTCATTCATAAAATCTTGTAAATTCATTGTTTCGATTGATTTCAATAAAGATCAAGGTTTCATAAGTTGTTCTTGCAATTCTTTTGTAGTTTTTCTTTGATTTGAACTATGAATTAAATCAATTTGCAAGTTAATAAATAATAGGAAGGAAGAAAAAACAAAAAGCTTAGTCAGCTGAGATAAAAAAAAAAAAAACGTAACGAAAATTTCCAAGCAATGGATAGTTGGATACCAAGATCTTAACTTGGTCTACTTGCATGCTTCGGTGGCCTTTCTTTCTTTGTTGAAACAGCTTTTTCATGGTTTGATTTGCCTAAACAATTTACTTAAACTAAGGAGGAGCATGACCATATGATAATGTAGACGGATATGCCGATCGTGTTGTTTAAGTAATAGATTAATGAAAAGGGACATCATCTTTACTAATTAAAAGTAGTTAAATAGTGGCTTCTTATACATTTATAATCCAAGCTGCACTAAGGTCAATTACGATGGGAATTTCTGAAATAAAGACAAGAATATATTAAAAACCATTACATTACCAATCATACAAACAGCTAGCATTCAATTGAGGTTTTTGAAGGGGCCCAGAAATCGCCGGCTGGACAGTGCATGTTTGTTTCTGTGCTTTTACACTGTTGTGCTTGCAATAGCTTAAGTAAACAGCCGGGACAAACGCATGCAATCAAGTTCAGACTAACAAACCCTAACGTTATCGTTGATTTAACCGTCATAACCTCACACTAAGGTCAAGGTGGGGGAAAGGGATCCTTCATCTTTACAGGCAACCGCCCTCATGAAAAAGCCAGTGCTGCCTCTATAGACTGTTTCGGCTGCTTTAATATAAGTGTGAAGCTATTATTGGCCAATCTTTATTTGATAAAAAATATTATTGGCCATCTTCGTTGCATTTATGGCCTTGAAAATCTGCCTGCTCTTAACCAAATTTGTTACGCTTATAACTGGATCAAAATATCTAAAAATTCATAGATTGATAGGTCTCTGTTGCACTTTTAAGTAAATTGCAAAGAAATTTGTCATGAACTCATGAGTTCATCGTTTGTCCAAGGACCAAGAAAGGAAGGATTTAATTTCATTGCGTGACAGATGGCTCAAGAATGCTTTGACCAGTAGAACCAAAAAGAAGATAATAGCGTGAGTTCATCCTCCATTAAGCAGAATATGCAAAAACACGAGCAACTGAGAACTGTAATTCTTTATTCATTGCTGATATATTCATCAATAGGAAGAAAAGAAGCATTATTTATGTACTGAAAATTATCTATCCCTCTGATTGATCGACACTACGGTACTGTTGTTCCACAATCTTGTTTCAAATGTTAAAAGGAAACCAAATTAGGGTACGCCAAGAAAACTAGTATTTTTTGCAGCAGAGGCAGCAATGAATTTGGAGCTCAAAGGAGATTCCACAATCAGAGTCCAATGTTGACTTCTGACCACCAGGTAATGCCTGCGGCCATAACCGTCAGCTTTCCTATGTCGAATGCCTGGGTCTATAACAGGATACATCATCTAATTGATGCCTCAGGTTATAACACCAAAGAAATTCATACAGATTCAACTGTACAAGCAAAATCTATTACCTAGTCTCTCCAGCAATCCAAATGAAAAAATTGTTTAGAACTGCATGAATTGAAGCGAATTTCCATGAATGCAGATATTTCAATAAAAATTAAATCACTAAAGGGAAGAAAAATAAATAAATAAAGCCAAACAAAAATCAAAGAACCAACAGCAAAATTAAAGATGACCTTTTGCATTAATAAAAAATTTCGACATACAACATATGCTCCATGCGGGCAATAATCCTCCAAGACCTATCCAAAATTTCTGGGTGAAGTGATCTTTGGGTGTTAGTCAACTTCCAAAATGAATTTTGATGGCTATGGCTAACCCAGCAAAAAAAAAACTATTTACGGTATCGTAGCTAATTTTGGGTCAAGTAATGTCATACAAATACAGAATCTAGTTCATTTGAAGCATGATATCTGTTTTTTTTTTCTTTTTTCTTTTTTTATGATATTTTATCTCCTAGATAAGCAAAAACCCGTTTCTTAAATATTTGACCTAACTCAACAATTTCTGATTCATTCACACGTCCACTGACATCAGATTGCCTCAGCCTCAGGTCTTCTTGGGACAACCTGCTTGCAACATCAATGGTCAAACTAGCCATATCTCTTCTACCTGTTAATACTCGCAAGACTATAGCCGAGTAGCCAGAATTGGAAACAAGTCTATTAAGCAATATAAGTGCCTCCCGAATCAGCAATGTCCTGCATATACAGAGATATTGACAACAAGAGAAGCAATCAAGGAAAAGGGGGCATAAAAATGTAAGCACAGGCAAACCATTACAATGATCCAGTGATCCAGAACCATCAAATGTCGGAGAAAAGTTTGAAAATGATTTCTTTACTCTTAAACCAACTTCTGTGTCAAATGTTGAAAGGGTGAAAGGAATTCATGGTGTAACCAAACACCCAGTAATAATTGCTCACCTTGCTTTAATGCTTCTTGCTGGCTCAGCCGAAGCTTCTACGTTCATTTCTGACACCAAAACTTGCAAAATCAACATAAGAAAGTTTGTCTCTCCAGGTAACTTGTTAGTTACCATAATTTCAAAGCCAGATTTTCCAGATGAGGCTAAAAACGCCAGCATAATGATAGCCCGCTTGCGAAGTTCAATATCCTGAAAGCCATTTATTACAAAATGAAACAGATTGCATTTTGCAGCAAGTACCACATTTGTATGTGTCTGCACCCTTTATGCTTCACTGGATTCTAAGAATGAAATGCAGGAAGAACCAGATTGCATAATCAAAGTCCTTTCATGAAGAAATAGATTTCCAAGAATAATAATAAATAAATAAATAATGCAATTTCATGGCCCTTATTTTAATGTGTTCTATCTGAAAAAAAAGCTGCATCTCATCGTTGCTACACAACCTTTAGACATGCCCAATCAACATAAAGCAAGTCATTATATAAGATGTTCCCCAAGATATATTTTCACACAAGCTCTCTTGATAACAGCCTATCTTATACAATGAGCACAAATTCAAAACCAGAACCAAAAATCAGGAAAATGCTATGGGAGAAATAAACTGCATATAGAAAAAAAAAAAAAAAATGTACTACGTAAAATTTTGTAGCTAAACTAAGAGCTAAATTATCACGCCTACCTGTATGCTATTTCCAGAGCAAGCAGTACATTCTGCCAAGCCCTCAAGGATGCTACTGAATCCATTGGGTGTTGAAGTATTTTTCTTCTTGTTTGTGGAATCAGCAATCTCTTCCTCTTTACAACCACAGCAAAACATGCTCAACAGCTTGGAACCTTCAATTCAACAAAAAACCGTAAGCTAGGAAGGGTTTTGCTGGGTTCCATGGAAGTAGCACGTTGAGTAGATTCAAATCTGTAACTCCTGAAAAAGGGAGTTACAATAGAATACTAAGCAATGCAAGGCAGTAGTCTATATGTATTCAGCTCAAATAAATAAGTTAAGGAGATGTCCCGGGTTGGAGATAACTCGAACACAATTGTTCTTCAGAGGCTTCAAGATGGGCTTCTAAGGTCAAGCTCAGTCAGTTGGCTATACACTGCTCAAAAGATGGCTTCTGAAAAGAAGCAGGAGCTAAATTTTGGTTGGTTTTTGTATTCAGAATTAGAAATCTGTAATTTACAAGGCATAAAGCTGCTATGAGTGAAACTTAAGACATCAAGTTTTAGAGGTTTTTATATATAAGCTCATGATCCACACAACAATATTTATTTCTTGGTGCAGCCATTTCTCATTTCCGAAATTTTCAGAGGTCCAACTGAGAGTATGAGGCTCACAAGAGGACAATTTCCAAAAAATTTTCACCTCCATGACCATTAAAGAATATCATATGGTTCTGTGGGTAAAGATATGGATGATTCCACTAAACCCCAAACCCACTGTATGCGGCACTTAAATGAAACATAATTATTGAAAAAATGTGAAACAACTGCTCCTTCTAATTGTTCAAACTTTTCAACTAAATGAGAGGTTCCGATTAAGTGTCAAAAAAATGGTGGGCAAGGTTCCAATATCCTCAAAGTATATTTATAAGGATATCAATGGGGGACCGATTCTATAGAAATTAGGACCTTTATTTTCTACATATGACTTTCTGAGTAGTTTTTATCAAGTGGTATTATTTTTATTTGGCATTGGCTATATTACCACACATTTTATTTTATTATATTTGACATACAAGGATGACAGGTTATTGAAATTTTGACTATTCTTTTGCACCTATTGTATTCTAGGTCTCCCTCAGTATTCAACTTTCAAGGAACCCCTTGTCAATTGCTAGAGTTTATCTTCTCTTTCCCCACTCATACTAAAACATGCACACATATATGTGTTTTTATATCCAGAATGATGCAAGATATTGGATTCCGTTCTTGCAGGAAACCATTGGATGCTAGCAAATCTTTATGAATGGCCAGATGATGTGATTTTCTTTCTTATCATATATTTGTTACTCATTTCAAATACAAAGGAGCATTTGAGATAAAATAATTCAAGTTCGCACATGAATTTATTCTAAGCATTTGGATAGCAAAGAAATCTTTTCTACTGATATGATGTTTTACAGCTTTTAGCGTATAGATTTGCTTCTTTCTTTTAACAAAACTAGAAAATGCATATAGTCGCCAAGCAAACCACCTGAATTGGTATTTGCAAGCAAAAGAACTTGATCCTCCACTTTTTTACTAGACACTAACCATGCTTGTTCATTTGGAGTCAACAATCAACAAAATAGGTTAGTTTCCAAAATATTTAACCCTGGCACTAAATAGAGAGCAAGCAAGTTAAGAAACTAGAGCTAAGAAAGACATCATAATCAAATGGGGGAGCAGATCAACTTGGATACTACCTAACAGATTATAAAGTTTGAAAGACATGAAAAAACAAGAAGAACTAGCAAATCAAACAGGAAGAAGAAACAAAATTGGTGGACTTACAATTTAGCAACAAGAATAGAAGATGGAGAGCCTCCCTTTGCACATGTGAGCCAGCTTCCCTTTTTAGCAGTTGTGCTATGCTTTCAAAAATTGGTGATTGGCCAAACCTTTTCAAGCAAAACTACATTCAGAATATAAAAAAAAATATATAGTTTTTTAACTGAATATGCAACCAAAGGCTTACAGGGAACTCACTTTTCCCTCTCTGTAAAAGCATTACTACTCATCAGAATCACATTCATGATAGAGACTGCCTCTAATCTCACGCATTCTTCTGTATCACTCACAGCAATCCGAAGCATCATTTCAAACAACAAAACCCAGTTTACAGAAGAAAGCTGCGATGAAATGTCAGCATTCCAGCCCTGTTTGTTGCACAGGTGCTTTGGATCAAAAGATCTAATGCCAAGCGAACTACAGCGCACATTACATGCCTCATAGCTGATCATATTAAACAGATCACGGTCTTCGAGGCTGTCCCCAGAGTAAAGTCCCTCAATCTTGATATTGTCCCTGAGTAGAGTGCACTGGAAAGATCAAATCAAAGTTCATAAGAACATAAACGCACTTAGGAATTTTTAGGAGCATCACTTTACAGTACACCAGATATGCAGAAAACAAAGCACCAAGTCCTTTTGCAAAAAAAAATGTTACGTGTTGACTTAAATATAAAGGTGAATATTTGATGCTTATGAATAGTAGAAAAAACTAAGAAAATGCCGGTTCTGGCTTGATTTTCTGTACTCTGCTCAGCTGGCTAAGCAATCCTGATTCCTGACCATTTCCTCTTCGTTTTCTGCTGACTATAGTGTCAGATATAATTCAAGATATTCCTTAGCTCCTCTGTTGCACCATGCAAGGAAAATCAACCCTTTTGATTTGGTGCATCAAATTGATCAGAGTTGGGATCTTATATCTATTTAGGAATTTCTAATGGTCTAATCACTTTTCAGAGGCATTTAAAATATTTCCATATTTATTAAAAGCCTCTTGCAAGATACAATACGAGCAATGCCCATATTCTTCTAGAATCTAAATGGTATTTTGACAATCTATAATTTTGAATATGGAACAAGAAACAAATTAGGAATTCATTTGCAGTGCAATTCCAAGTGGCAGTGATCACCTTCTGTTGAATAATTATCATAGCATAGAATCCAAATTTTGATCAGAACAGCTAAAAGAAACTAAAACATCAAGGCAGTTAATGCAGATAGTTCTAACCCAAACCACAAAGCATGACATTGTTCAGCGTATAAAGTCTCAGCAATTCATTTCAAAGGCATGAACAAACTTCAAGAAAGAAAAAATGAACATATGAGCCATAGTACTTACCGTCCCAATTTTGTTCCCAAACTCAATAGGTGCTTTAAAAAGGCAAGCAGTATATGCAAAGAACTAGAAAGAATGGCAACCTGTACCCAGGAAAATAAAATAAAACATATTCCTTAAAACAAGAAGAGAACAAAAAAATTGAATTTGACTACAAATACCAAATATGGATTTTATAACAAAGGATAGGAAAACAGAGTCTGAAACTCACATTTGCAACATCACAAAGATCAAGTAAAGATCTAAACAAAGCTTCCAACTGTAACACTCCATTATTGATCTGCAATATAAAGGAATCAAAAAGAAAAACAAGCTAATTGGATGCTCAAAATAATGGGAGGAGACATCCAAGGAAAATTTAAGCATGCCTTATGCAAGGAATGGTTTGGGACATCACATGAAAGAAAGTTAGCCCTCATGTTTCTGCAAGAATTGCACTATAAATGCACCAACTTTTAACATTTTTTCAATCGAGTACATGAACTTTATTGTTTTCGTTTGAGTACATCAACTTTTTCAAAACTACCAATTAAGTATTTTACGTTCAACTTCTATCAATTGCTCCATTATCTCAAGACATGCCTTTTGCTCCAGACTACTAAATTACTATCCCTTTCATTCTTGGAGGGAACTTTCCTACCCAAATTATTTTGCCATCCTCTTCTTTTTGTATAGTAAATACCCAAATTGTCCTTATATCCGAAAGGTAGAAAGGGGCAAATAATTTGGGAGGAAAAGTTCCTCTAAGAATGAAAGGGAAAAATCATAATAAAATATTCTGAGGCAAAGGAGATAACATAGCAATTGATAGAAGTTGGACAGAAATAATTTATTGATAGTTTTGAAAAAGTCGATATCCTCAAACGAAAAAAAATTGAAGTTTATGTATTCAATTGAGGAAACGTTAAAAGTTGTACTTATAGTGCAATTATCCTTGTTTCTGCATGGTTATAAAACTATCTCAATATCCTTGAAGTTCATGACCTTGTCATACATGGTTTCCCATTCAATTACCATGGGCATTCGATATTGCTGGCACAAGCAAAAGTAAGGTCTTTTTTTTTCTGGCTAAGATTGCCAACCATTTTTCTTCTTTTATTAAGCTACAACCACCTTACTTTCTCTGTTTAATATTCTATGACCCACTCAATTATGGTCCCAAGCTATCACAGAGAGGGGCCTTGGATTGGAGAAATTAGAGACAGTAGATACCACCATATTTTTGTATGAAGTTGCTTTTCTCAGTATTCAAACAAGCAACTTCAGTGCATGGCAATGAAAGGAAAGGATGAAAAAAGAAAACCAACACCAAAAATATAAACTATTCAAAATTATCAAAATGATATTAAGGAAAAGGAGACAAATTCACATGAATAAGGGATCTCACAAGACACTAACCAAATCTTCATGAGTAGGAAGTTCTGAACCTTTCAAGTGTTTGAATAGAGAACCTAAAAAGGGATATCTCAAAGCTAGCCTGGTTATCCAAACATGCCTTTAAAACATCTTAAATTAACAACTAGCCTCACACCTCACACAGTTGCACTGCAAGGGTTAATTTCACTTAAATAGGAAGTGATGCATGGTTCCTTAGACTTCTTCCCAAAAAAAAAAACCCTAAATTGCGAACTACGGGATGTGTCTCAATTATAAATGCCTAAAATCTCTCTTTATCTCTAATTAAAAGTACATGAAGTCTTTTCAACACAATACCTTTGTCAATACAGAATACAGATGAGAAATTTTTGCAGCTTCAGATGCTGGAAAAGAGCGCATATGATGCTGCAAAGCCGCATGAGAAGAGCTTTCGCCTGGCAATGAGTCCATTTGTACTTTAGAGGACATATTCATGCTCATGCACCCAAAAAGAACCTGAAAATCTGTTGGGCAAGCCATGAACAACTTGGAGATCAGATTTCTTCCCAATTGCTGTTCGCTTGTGGAGCCCCAGATGCCCAGCAATGTTTTGGAAAGTTCAAGGTGAGAAGATAAATCATTGTTCAATTCTATTTTGTTAAAATCAATGCTTCTCTCTGTCTGAACTCCTATGGCCTTGGATGTAGAAGCTGTTAACAAACATAAAAACAAAGCATGGAGATTTCATGTCAAAAGTAAATAAATAAATAGTAACACAAAGAACCCTATGGAAATAGAAGTTTATCCAACTCATGTACCTCACCTATATCAATCTGATCCTCCAAAGATTTTGCATTTTCAGAGTGCTGGGAAATTCCATGAGCATCCTTGCTGTGAACCCCACGCTCCCTGCTACCATAGCCAGCCATTCAAAGAATTTGTAACAACAATTAAAAAAGGGCTCACTGCCCAATTATGATTTTATATCAGACAAGCTAAATAATTTTCGTGGCGATAAAAAATGTAAGCAATGTGAAGAAAAAGAAATAACCAAGGCTACTGCTAGAGAAAACTTTCAAATAAACTAACTGACTAAGAATAAAAATGCTGCCAAGAACACTTAATAGCTAGTTAACCACTATGAGGCTGTCACGCTGTGAACTGGATTTGGCAATGCAGGATAAGACTGGCAGGACCTAAGGTAGTGTTTGAGAAGAGAAAATAATCTCTATGCCATACATGCAATATATCACAATCACCTGCTCAGATATATAACCAAGATAGTTCAAAGGAAAAAAAAAACTCACAAATTCGTCTTTTTTCTGCTGTGAACATCCACATTGATTTCTTCAGTATTTGCATGTACAAATTTAATTTGCTCGTCTTTTTTCCTTCTCTCCTTCTTAAGTTCAAAGCACTCTTGTTCCTGAAATGGATTAGTAATTCAGCAAAACTCAACCCCATTAAAAAGGATAATACTTTCAAATAAACAAACTAATTAAAAATCATAATGAAGTGGAAAAAACGAGAAATAGCTTGAAAACTAGATAATGAAGAAATAAATAAATGGATAAAAAGAAAAACAAATAAAGCACCATACCAAAGGCAGCAACTTTGTTAAATCAAGGACAGATAAATACTGGTAACATGACAAAAGAGTGGGAAAAAAAGATTTACCAAATCTGTAAGGTGCTTTGATACGCGTCCCAATTCTCTCTGTAATTTGCAAAATAAAAAAAAATAGAATCAGAAATTTCAATCCTTTTCCCCTAAGGAAAGATACAGCATCATATACATCTATTGCCGAAAGAGTAATTCAAAAAATAAGAAATAAAAATCGAAAGCAACGTTAACAATGTCAAATGTCGATATTTGATCCAAAGAAAGAACCAAAAATAAAATAAATTCCGGAAAAAAGAAAAGAAAAAAGGAACCTTTAAGCGATCAATTTCCAGGTCTTTGACATTATCTTTGCACGCAGAAGTAGAAGGAGCAGAATGCGAAAATCCGTTAGAGAAACGATCAAATGTTATGCTGTTGTTGTTGATACTGAACTCAATTGGTCTTTGAGAGAGTTCTCGCGGAGGAGAGTAACTGGTTGGGTTATTTTGATAATCTTGCAGGTGTTGTTGCGGTGGTGGTGGGAGGTAGGAGAGTTTTGGAGTGGTGGTGGAAGGGGGAGATTTGGAGGAGGAGGAGGAGGGGAGTTGAGAAGAGAGAGCGAGTTCTTCGACATGGATTAACTGGTCTAAGAAATCTGCATCCCATTCCTCGAACCCTTCCTCCCCTTGTTTCATTTCTCTTTTTCGAGTGTTTTGAAAAGGAGGGAGCAGTTGGGAGTTGGGACGGTCTTTCTGGTTTGGGGTTTAACAACCTAGAAGAGAAGGTGAGTGGGTAGTAACGAGTTCAAAAGGTTGGGTGCTTTTTGCTCCGGACTGGTCAAACGACTCGACTGAGGCTTCCATTATTTGGCGAAAAATAACTTTTAATATAAAAATTAATTCTGCAAAAGCTACTTTCCCAAAAAAATTATTGTTTTTAAAAAATATTTTTAATATTTATAATTACATGAAAAAATTGTTAAAAAATATATTTCAATATTTATTTGATATAAAAAATTAAAATATAAAAATATTTTGTTATTATTACATAAATGAGTATTAAAAAAACTTCAATAAGAAATATATGCATTTAAAACATTTTAATAAATTTTTATAAATGTCAACTTTAAAATTTAAATTCAAAAATTCAAAAATAAAATATATTTTTTTAACTATTAAATCAATTTATCAAAACTACGTATAAAATCAAGTCAATATTCATATTTAGTAAAAAAAAAAATTAATTAATCCTAACATTTTTATTTTGGCAATTCAATTAAGAATTCTTCTTTTTTTTTGGAATAATTATTAGTTATCTTTTACAGATAATTATTCATTCGATTTCAAAAGATTAATGTTGAAATAATTTATAACTAATTATTGACTACAATTATTAATAAAAATTTATAATTGATTAAAATTAGTCACAAATTATTGATTTAGTTGCAAATGAACAATATTGAAAAAATAATTTATTTATTAAAAATTAATTAATTTTAATTTTTTCACAAATGATTTCGATCTTGTAATAATCATTTTCAATCATTTACGTATAGTTTAGGTGGTGTTTAGGATAATGATAAAAAAAAATAGAGATAAATTATTAAAATATTTATTATAAAAATCATTTTAAGATGTAAAAATGGTTTTTAAGAATATTTAATGTATTTATAAATCGAAAAATCAAATGTTAGTAGAAATAGAGAAAAATAATTAAATAATTGATAAGAAATAATTAAAAATTAATTTGATATATTTTAAATAAAGAGAGACGAGAGAAAAAATTATTGAAATATAACGCTAGAGATATGAGTAACGCGAGAGCGAGGCGGTTTGTGAGAGGGAGGGAAAATGTTTTCTTCTTTTTTAACTCAAAAAACACTTTCTCAAAAATACTTGACTCGAAAATCATTTTTTGTTAACTTTTTTCTTAAACCCAAAATAAACATCGAAAAATGAGGAAAGAAAGATCATGGAATTTGTTTTCCTCCAAACAAACACAATTGAGTCATTCTTTCTTCTTCATTTTTTTTTCAAAAAAATGGTCATTTAAATAAATGGGCCTCGACTCTAGTTACACCAAAGCATTTTAGCCCGTGTATAGATACAATGATGCTCGCCATTTACACAAATCACATGAGTGGGGTTTTTTTTTCTAAAATAAATATGAAGGACTTTATTATCATAAATAAAAATAACAAATATTCATTTCTATTTTATCTTAACAATTTTGACACTAAATTGAAGAAATTATTATTTAGCGATTTAAACTTTTATTGTTTGTTTCTCTATTTTTGATTTTGTATTAATTTTTTTATTTGTCTTTCTTCTCTTTATTTTTATTTGTCTTGATGTTTTATTTTTATTTTTAAAATCATCTTGGGTCTTTATTTGATTGGAATCAATAGTTACTAATCAATCAACCACTAATTCCATCATATATTGACGTGTATATTGACGTGTGTTACCCATATTTATTCAAGTTTTTCTTCTTTTTTTTTCTTTTTTTTTTTCCTTATTCTTCTCCTTCCTCAACCAGACCATTCTAACCCTAGTATTAACCATCTCTTACCTCCCCACACTAAATACAATACAACCACAATCACCTCCCCGCCATAACCATTCAAAATCTATGTATAAACCCGTTTTTTGTGTTATATATATCATGTGAGCGACTTTTTAAAGAGTTCACATCAACTATTTGATAGAAATCCTCATTCACGACCCTTTAGTCTTCAATTCCATTATTTCTCTAACTCACTCACTACCATGAAACCACGATTACTATATATTTAATAAGGTTTAATCACATCAAATGTCTCTCTATTCTTCAATTTCCCTTAATATGGCATCTTTGACTATTTTCCGGCTAAATTTTCAATCAAAATTGACAAGTTGACGTAAAAAAATTTCATGTGGCACAACACGTCGGACTAATTGCCATGTGAAAAAAATAAAAATAAAAATATTTAAATTACAAAATTGCCCTCAAGATGGGGGTGTTAAGATTAAAACTAACGAGAATTTAATAGTTACATCCGTAGTTTAGTAGTTGATTACATGTGGTCGCTCATTTGCTATGTTAAAAAGGATCGATATATCAATTGCAAATTCTTCTTTAAAGGTATTTCACCACACCCCAAGTCCTAACCAAACGCAAAATGCTCATTTTCCTCTCTTGTCTAACAAATTTGGGAAAACAAGAGGAAGCATTAATTTGCCTTACACTTAGCAAAAAAAAAACTAATAAGGAATGATGTTTCATGGGATCAAGAAATTACTATACGATGCTTGGGATGGAGTTTACATTAGATCCTCTATCTTTTGTCCAACGTCACTAAAGGCCTATGTTTCATGGTCTTTGGTGTTGTTTATCCTAAACAAATAGTGGTCGAAAGGGTTTGGTTAGGTTATGTGGTTATTGTTAAGTTGGGGTTTGTAGTGAAAGGAGTATGGCTTTTGATTATGAGGTTTGTGGCGAGAGGAGGATAGCTTTTGGCGTTAAGGTTTGTGTTAAAAGGAGGTTTTAATGGTAGGTTTTCAATGAAGGTTTATGAGGTAAAGGAAGATTACCTATCTACTTTAACAAACACATCCTCTATTATACATTTTGGGTGTTTTATTGACCTATTTGCCAATTATAGAGATATAGTGATGGGTTTTGCTTTCCTTAAGCCTAGCTTTTTAAACATATGATATGACATCAAGTTTATACTAACACCTAGATCACATAAAACCTTATCAAATCATGTATTTCCAATAATACAAGGAATAGAAAAACTCTCTAAGCCTTCAAGTTTTGGTGGAAGCTTGTTTTGCGAGTATAGCTGAGCATTCATCTATCGAGTTCATAGTTTCAAAATCCTCTAGTTTTTTTGTTTTTTTGTAAAGGTCATTTTAAAAAACTTAGTATAGTTTGGCATTTAAGCCAATGCATCTATAAAAGGGATGTTAATATATAGTTTCTTGAAAATTTTAAGAAATTTTGAATTTTTTTTTATCCAAATGCTTTCGCTTTAGTCTTTGAGGGAAAGAAATATCTTTCAAATTAAGAGTTTTAGAATTTGTACCTAACTTGTTTCTTTAACTTGCAGTTTTGGATGGATCTGGAGGTTCGACTTACTTTTCTTCAAATGATTCCCAATTATGCTCCTCTTTAGTTGAAGAATTTTTTGTTGGTCCCTTCTTTTGTGGCTCGTCAATTTACTTACCACTTCTCAATGTGATTGCCTTTACCTCTCTTAGATTTTTTTATCACTCGGTAAAGTTCCTTATTGTCTAACTACAATGATATTAGCCAATTGACCAACTTGTCTCTAAATTTATAATACTAGCATCTTGGTTATGCATCTTGGTTTTCATACTAGTAATGAATTTGGTCATCATGTCTTCTAGGTATGACTTCTTTTCAACCCATTGTTGATTAAAACCTAGAGGCGGTCTCGCTGCATTACTATTGTTGTTCTATGAGAAGTTGAGGTGATTCCTCCAATCGGGTTTATATGTGTTAGAGTAGGGGTTGTACAATGACTGGTTCGAGTTTGCACATAATCGACGATTCAAACATGTTGACATTTAATGCTAGGGTATGCTCCTCCACACAAATCATAATAGACTTATAGTTGTGTTTATGAAATGCTCATCGAATCCATTCGTTTACTTACATATGAACTTAAGCAATCAAGGTTATTAGTGCTTCAAACTTATGAACAATAGTTATTTGTGGCAAACTCTTACTAAACCACTAATGATTATTGGATGCCATTTCCTCTAATAATAGTAGTGTTGTTTCTAAAGTCTTACTTATGATCGTGACACTAGCTCGCAACATCTATCATGGTCTTTATTATTGAAGTGAGTCCATTGTAAAATGTTTGGACTTATAACTAAAAAGCAAACCATGATGTGGACACTTCCTCAACATCTTCTTGTATCTCTTAAAAGCCTTATAAAATGACTCTATATCAAACTACACAAAAGATGTGATGTCATTGCAAAGCTTTACAATTTTGCTCGATAGAAAATACTTTATCAAGAACTTTTTCGCCATTATTTTCTATGCAGTAACATATCCCACATGTAATGATGTCAACATCCCTTGGCCTTATCCTTTAGTAAGAATGGAAACAATCTCAATCTAACAACATCATTAGTAACACCATTATGCTTGAAGGCATCATAAATTTCTATAAAGTTGGCTATTTATGCATTTGGATCTTTACTAGTTAAGCCATGGAACCGCATCATTTGGATGATAGTTGGCTTGATCTCAAAGTCGTTAGCTTGGATAGTTGGTCTTGTAACACTAGTTACTGACCACGTTGACGATGGGAATAACATATTCCCGTAAAGAACACATGTTCTTTGTCATCTTTGGTTCTTCTTTACATCTTTTAAGAGCTAGCTAATTTTTCCGTGCTTGTAGTGCTTAGTGTAAAGTGCATTCAATCTCGGGATCAAATGGTAGAAATTCCCTTAGATTGGCACGTGTCATGCATTATCCTAATCAATCCTACGCTAACTCTTACTACAATATCAAACAAAATAAAAGTTCAAACCTACACTAACAATGACTACAATATCATCTCTTTTGATATTTGGTTCTCTTCTTTCTTTCCTATTTGAGTCTCGTTTTATCTTTCGTGCTTTCTTTTCATATCCCTCCTTAATAAAACCCTAAAAGTTCGTATAAATAA